AATAATAAATTTGTTGTAAATATTTACATACGTGTTTATTAGAAATTTTCTTACTCGACAAACACAACTTTGCTTATCTATACATACATATGTACCTATGTACATGTGTATGTAGTTAACTCAAATTTAATATGCATAATTATCGTTGTTTAATAAGCATTTGGTGGTGTTTTATGTAGTCGGTAGTTAAAGCATTTAAATGCAATTATTTCGAGCTTATTTGGGCGTTATTTATTGACTTGTATGTAAATATATATACACAAATATACAGTGGCGGCAGAAATAATAGACTCGTCTTATTTTGAAGAGTTTTGGCTATATTTCTATGGTTTATTTTATGTTTAATATTTTCTTTTAAAGCCTGGCTAGTTATACAACAAACACCATATAAATCACCTTTTCAAACTTTATACAAAAATTATGAAAATTCGACAAATATTAACCAAATTTTTAAACTTTTTAGAAAAATGTTTGGTATGCAGTTTTGTAGCCCATTCAATTTTAGTATAATAAAGTGGAAGTTTGAAGTGGCTATGAAATACCATTGATTTTTGAGAATTTTTTTTTTTGTTGACGATGCTCGGCATTCTCTTCCATATAAAAAAAAATTGTCGAGCACACTTTGTATGGGANCGCAGTTTTGTAGCCCATTCAATTTTAGTATAATAAAGTATAAGTTTGAAGTGGCTATGAAATACCGTTGATTTTTGAGAATTTTTTTTTTTTTGTTGATGCTCTGCATTCTCTTCCATATAAAAAAAAATTGTCGAGCACACTTTGTATGGGAGAAAATGCAAAAAGAAATCTTAAAAATCTACGGAATTTTGTAGCGAATTGAAACTTGCACTTTATTATACTAAAATTCAATGGGCTATAAAACTTCATACCAACAATTTTTCTAAAAATTCTGAATAAAAAGCTTGAAACTTTGGTGAAAATTTGCGTTCAAAGTTTTAAAAGCGGACTACCTAGGCTTTTACAAAAAAATATCAAACTTAAAATAGATTAAAGAAATTTAGCCAAAATTTTTAAAAGTACGACGAGTTTATTATTCCTGCCGCCATGGTATCTACATATGCNGAAAAGCGGACTACCTAGGCTTTTACAAAAAAATATCAAACTTAAAATAGATTAAAGAAATTTAGCCAAAATTTGTAAAAGTACGACGAGTTTATTATTCCTGCCGCCATGGTATCTACATATGCATGTTAGGGTGGTCCTTATAATATCTTAAGTTAAATTTTGTATGCGGGTTGCCTCATTGTTCTACGTACAAACTAAATACATAAATAAAAATTAAAAATAATAAAAAGTTCAAAATAAAAAACAAAAATTAAGGTTCAAAAAATAAATATTTAAAAAATTAGATTTTTTCAATCCCTCGTAGCGACCCTAATTTTTTTAAATAACGCGATGAGCGATGTTGTTTATTTGATGTGCNATTCAAAATAAAAAACAAAAATTAAGGTTCAAAAAATAAATATTTAAAAAATTAGATTTTTTCAATCCCTCGTAGCGGCCCTAATTTTTTTAAATAACGCGATGAGCGATGTTGTTTATTTGATGTGCCACACTCATGTATGTACATATGAATACGATTACGGCAAAAGTATTCTTCCTTATTGGCGCTGTAACCTCCGAAGCGATATTGTCCGAGTCCAATTTAAGTCCTTCTCCGGTGACAGGTAACACAATCAACGGAAATAACGTCAATTGACACTATTTGCCATAGTGATGTGAAATAAATTCAATTGACGTTATTACCTTTTTAAAAGAGAAATAAAGTAAATACAAATTTGGAAATAAGGTACATGATGCTAAGTATCTCCTAATTCAAATGGAAATAGCGTCAACAATGCTTAAAGCTCAGTATATCAGAAGTGAAATTTTAAGTAGCACACAATTTTTTACACGCACGGTTGCTCGTCAGCTGTAATTAAATAAATTTTAGAATTTATTACACTTACACTACTACTGCACTTACAGTTCATCGATAAATCGTCTGCGGTATTCACCATCGCCGACGCTAACGCGGGTAAATCTTTCGCAAAATAATTATCTCGAATAGTCCAAGAGCCGCCTCATCGGATGTTGCCATTGTCCATGCCTCCGCGCCACACACCAGCACAGGCATGATGAGTGACTAATAGAGTGTGATTCTTGTACGACCAGAGAGAACTTTACTTCTGAGTTGCCTACTCAGTCTAAGGCATCGATGGGCAGAGAGAGATTTTACTCTGCGTGCGTCTATACAAAATGCATAGAAAGCTTAAAAGAGCTTTGCCCGCGGGCAAGGCGATATGCTGGTTCCTAATAAACGAAGTCATCTACTTTTCCAGACTTGTAACTGTCAACAGTGACGCTTATTGCACTGACTGTTTGTGTGATGACAAGAGATACTTCGTTTTGTCCTCGTTCACCACAAGATCCACTCGATTTGCAGCCCCCAACAATCAACCTCAAGAAGTTAAGGGCAGGGGCAAATGCAGGGGAAATTATACGATTTTTTTTTTTTTATATTAGTAGTGCTCCATTCTATTGTACATTCCATTTCCCCCAGGAGGGCCCTGCGTAAGCGGAGCTACGGGTGTTTTAATCCCGGGGATACCTCTGTCAAAGGCTACCAGTCCTGAGTCGGTGGAGGCTTTCGAAAGTCTTACCAGAGACTTAAACCTGGTATCAGAGAAAGAAAGAAGAAAATTGGTGAAACGGTAAGTGTGTCCACCACACACTGCCAATTGGTACTGAAGTGCCTGCATTTCAGGGCAGTGATTAAGGCATGAATTGATCCGTTGTGCTAACACGGGCACCGTTTTGTTAAGCCTAACTGGCAGGAAATCACGATAAGTCCTACACACAGCTGGGCATTCCATTCCTTGCAGCAGTTAAGGGGTAGGCGAATTTCAAATAAAATTTTATTCGGAGGGCCTTTGCAACTAATCCGAGATAAACCTCTGGACTTTGGCGTTCACATTACTTATTGAAATTTAATAGGTTGGAATGTTTTCTGAATTGCTTTACCTTTCGCTCTTTCTATAGGAGTTTTCGTTTGGTTAGATTCGGCATACGTAAGCCTAAAATTCATGCCTTATATCCCTCACTTTTTACACATATTTGAGTAACTTTCAGTTATTTGTTTTAGCCTTTGTGTACCAATGCTATCAGAATGGATAGTTGGGAGCATATCTGTTCCAGTGCACCTCCTTTCCTAGGCAGCCGTCCCTACCTAACCTACTTAGAAGAACTACATACTCAAGCCAGCCAACCTTCGCCTCCGTTATTGATATCCTATCACTTTTCAATTCCTTAAAGGGGAGTTCCAGAAAATTTCTAATTGAATTAAGAAGTTTTTTAAAAACTTATTTTCAAGAAATATGACTTATTTAGGTCTCCTTCTTCCTGGAATGCCTAACCAATATAGATCCGCTTTTTTGCACTTTCACAAAGGGCATTTGCAGTTTATTCACATTACAAAAAAAAAATTGATTTTTAAGACAAAAAAGGACAGATTGAAGTTTAGGTTCGAACTTAAATTCAATAAAATTTGAGAACATCAACCTCACAAACTAAGCACCCGTTATTCCTAATTTTATCACTTAAAGCACATNCGATTTTTTTTTTTTTATATTAGTAGTGCTCCATTCTATTGTACATTCCATTTCCCCCAGGAGGGCCCTGCGTAAGCGGAGCTACGGGTGTTTTAATCCCGGGGATACCTCTGTCAAAGGCTACCAGTCCTGAGTCGGTGGAGGCTCAACTGGCAGAAGTCTACGGCTTTCGAAAGTCTTACCAGAGACTTAAACCTGGTATCAGAGAAAGAAAGAAGAAAATTGGTGAAACGGTAAGTGTGTCCACCACACACTGCCAATTGGTACTGAAGTGCCTGCATTTCAGGGCAGTGATTAAGGCATGAATTGATCCGTTGTGCTAACACGGGCACCGTTTTGTTAAGCCTAACTGGCAGGAAATCACGATAAGTCCTACACACAGCTGGGCATTCCATTCCTTGCAGCAGTTAAGGGGTAGGCGAATTTCAAATAAAATTTTATTCGGAGGGCCTTTGCAACTAATCCGAGATAAACCTCTGGACTTTGGCGTTCACATTACTTATTGAAATTTAATAGGTTGGAATGTTTTCTGAATTGCTTTACCTTTCGCTCTTTCTATAGGAGTTTTCGTTTGGTTAGATTCGGCATACGTAAGCCTAAAATTCATGCCTTATATCCCTCACTTTTTACACATATTTGAGTAACTTTCAGTTATTTGTTTTAGCCTTTGTGTACCAATGCTATCAGAATGGATAGTTGGGAGCATATCTGTTCCAGTGCACCTCCTTTCCTAGGCAGCCGTCCCTACCTAACCTACTTAGAAGAACTACATACTCAAGCCAGCCAACCTTCGCCTCCGTTATTGATATCCTATCACTTTTCAATTCCTTAAAGGGGAGTTCCAGAAAATTTCTAATTGAATTAAGAAGTTTTTTAAAAACTTATTTTCAAGAAATATGACTTATTTAGGTCTCCTTCTTCCTGGAATGCCTAACCAATATAGATCCGCTTTTTTGCACTTTCACAAAGGGCATTTGCAGTTTATTCACATTACAAAAAAAAAAAATTGCTTTTTAAGACAAAAAAGGACAGATTGAAGTTTAGGTTCGAACTTAAATTCAATAAAATTTGAGAACATCAACCTCACAAACTAAGCACCCGTTATTCCTAATTTTATCACTTAAAGCACATTTTTTAGTTATCTTTAAATGAATACCAGTGAATATACTTGTAGCTACATATGCGCATACCCTTATACAATCGCTAATCACTTTTAAGCCATTAGGTAATTAACTAATTAATGAGAAAAAAATCTGATTGCAGGCCTCTATCGAGGAAATTCGCGCACTTGCTGCTCGCTTGTGTCGCGATTACTTGACTGGCCGGTGGAAAACGATCAACCAGGCTGATATCGTTGTCAAAAAAATTAAGTAAGTAATTGCATCAAATTAACAAAAAAATAAAACCTTGTTATAACTAAAGTTAATAATTTTTCACAGCGGCGGTTTGTCAAACTTCCTGTATTACGTAAGTCTACCGTCGAGTGACAATAACTTCCAGTTTATCCAAGATCATTCCAGCGTAAATTTAAATGGAGAGGATTATATTAAATTAAATGGTGATAATACTGATAATGACAGTCTCAATAACAATAACAATAATAATGATGAGAAAGTGTCATTAGCGACAAGAAAATCGACCAGTGAACCAAATGAGGTGAGTATATATTGTATGATTAATGGGTATCGCCGATCTAGACGGGGTTAGATCGCCGAAACAACAGCCCTTGGTCGGGTGAAACCCGAGTCATTCCGGTACGTAGAACAGAGATCAAACCTCGAAACCTAGAAGAATAAAACAAGGGGTTCCACAAGGTGGTGTTCTCTCCCCCTTACTTTTTAACTTCTATATCTCGAAACTCCCCCAGCCACCTGAAGGAGTTTCCCTGATCTCGTACGCTGATGACTGTTCGATTTTGGCGTCTGGGAATGGAATTGATGACCTCTGCTCAAAAGTAAACGGCTATCTCTCCAGCCTTTCTCGCTTCTTCACTGCAAGGAGCCTAACCCTCTCCCCAACGAAATCAACGGCGACCCTCTTCACCACCTGGACGAAGGAGGTCAGGCTTGAATTAGGCATTCACGTCGACGGCACACCAATACCGACGGTGAACAACCCGAAAATTTTAGGGGTTACCTTTGATAGCCTGCTCTCTTTCTCCGCGCACACAACCGCAGTTGTCAACAAAGTACAGAGCCGCAACAAGGTCCTCAAGTCGCTCGCCGGCAGCACTTGGGGCAAAGACAAAGAAACGTTGTTGGCAACATACAAGGCAATTGGCCGGCCGGTTCTAAATTTTGCTGCGCCAGTTTGGACGCCGGGGACTAGTTGGACGCAGTGGACGAAGCTACAGACTTGTCAGAACGCCGCACTCCGGACAGCGACTGGGTGCCTTCTGATGACGCCTGAGCATCACCTACACAGTGAGGCCCAAGTGCTCCCCGTAAGGGAACACAACAAGATGCTCTGTAAGCAGTTTCTTGTGGGGTGTCACAGAAGTGAACACCCCAACAGACCACTGCTGGAGGAGGAGCCTTCGCCCAGGCACGTCAGGGGGCACCTATTCATGTACAAGGACGCAGTCCAGACCTACACAGACCACCACTGGACCCAATGACGTACAGACGAGCGATTAACGACATTCATAGGGAGTTTGTCTCCACCTACCTCGACTCCCGGCCTAGGAATGTCGTTATCGGAGCCCAATCACCACCTGTGGAAGAGACGGAGCTTCAGTTACCTAGAGAGACCCGCGTTACCCTGGCTCAGTTACGGTCTGGATATTGTAGCCGCCTAAACAGCTACCTGTCCAGACTCGACCCAAACATCCCAAATGAGTGCCCGGCATGTGGAGACCCCCCCACGACACCAACCACCTCTTCACATGCCAGCTCAATCCGACTCAACTAACACCTCACTCCCTTTGGTCCGACCCCATCGAAACAGCTCGTTTCCTGGGCCTACCGTTAGTTGAGCTTGACGATAATGATGAAAAGTGTGACCCAAATAGCGGGCTTAGAAAAGTGCCGCTCAACACAAATGATGCAGTATATATTGTATATGTATTTTGAAATACTACTTAAGTGATAAATAATAGGGCAAAATTTCTTCAAACCACAGTTAAAGAATTACGTATTCTATGTTTAGGTAGTGCTAAGAATTTTGTTTGTTTATTTATTACTGGCTTTGTGGTGGTCAAAGACAAGCGAGATCCTGTTGAAACAAGTCTTTCAAGAAATTGCGACTCCCAGTCCAGATCAGATTGAATGACTGTGAAGTCTTAAGGAAAAGGTTTATCCAAATTCTGCAATGCCCTCCTAATGCCCAAAGCCAATGAAAATCTTACGACAGTTTGACAGCCAGCAATCATGATTTACTATATTAGCCCTTTTAATTACTTCATGAAAAATTTGTTCCTATTAACTCTCAGAAGTTTAATTTCCTGTTGCTATACATTGGTAAAATGTTTCGAGTCCAATTCTTTTTAATTTTGTATCTTCCTTCATTAGGTCTTCTTTGGTTGGGATTTGGCTAAACTACCGCTACCCCGTTCTCTGTATGGCCTTGGTGGCCTGGAATATAATGGAATTAGAGGGTCTTTTTCCAGCTAGGCAATTTAGTTTCCCTGCACTGAACCAAAAATCCATCTCTGGATCAAAGAAAAACTTTGCTTACTTTAAGGTCGAAAATCTTCCGAATAAGTAAAAAATTCTCCCGAATGAGTCATTTTTCTTTGGAATGTGTAAAAACGTACACAAAAATAGGGAACCTTGGATGTAATCTATCATTTTGAAGAAATATTGGGCATGAAAAGAGGATAAAACTTCTTTAGTGCTTTTTCGTTCCCATTTTTTTCGTTTTGATTGCTGTTTTTCTTCAATTAGGAGAAGTTTTTTTTGAGGGTGAAAACATGTGAAAAAAAACCTGACTGAAGTTTGCTCGCACGCAACTTGTAATTATCACTGATACCATTATTCTGGTTAAAAGACCAGAAGCTTCACTACTTACTTCGATCCGTTTCTGAACCATATTACACGGTGTATTAAGAATATATACCTAAATTAAAATTATTCTAGTTCCTTTATATTTTTACAGAGTTTCCTCGTTTCCTCTAAAGGATGGTGGAATTTAGATTTAATATTTCCCCGAAGGCGATTAGTCCGATCCGTTAAATCTTATAAGAACCTTCTCTTAACCACCCAAGAATAGGTGCGTTCGTTTAAAATCTCCAGCAGAAACCAACCAACTGCCAAATTTCGGCGAAATGTCATCTGTTCTCTCACAAGAGAGAAATATCCAAAATAGTACGCGAACAGAAAATTTGCAGAACTTGCAAGTTAGACGAACAGCTGATATAATTTTTGTTTACATACAAAAGTGTAAAATTTAAAACGTACGAAAAGTCATCGCAAAGTGTTATACTGACACAGTTTATTGATTAAACAAATAACTACTTATTTCTTACAAGTTTAATTAGTCGCATTTTGTAATTTTTATCTTCCAAACCATCAAATTCAATTTTGTGATTTGCCTAAATGCCAACCAGCTGTTTTTGATCAGCTGTTTTCCTGTTGGCAAAAATTTTTCCAGCGGAAACCAGCAGCTTCCCCTCAAAATGAAATGTCAGTTTGCTCTCTCAATTTCCCTTACTTTGCAAGTTTTTTGCGTACGCGAACGCAAAAACTTGTAAGTTTTGGTTAAACATGAACAATTAACAGCTACGCGAACGAACCTAATATGTGAGGCGCTTTCAAACCATTGCAAACTTCTTCCCCTCTTCCTTTCCGTCCTTTGAGAAACGTAGTTCTCAAAAAATGAGAACTATTGACTCCCTTCGCATATGCTTAATTATCACTCGGAGTGAATATCCACAGACCGAAAACACCTAAACGCTTCTGGCCTTAAAACCCAAGTTTTATTCGGGAATAAAATTAATTTATAAAAAAAAACCTCTCAATTATGTAGATATATAGCTTTTGTAGACATTTGAATGTCCTATCCTTTGATAGATTGGTACTGTTGTTGTTATAGAAAATTGTCTAATAAAAAAAAAACATATATTTGACGCTTACACTTTTCGCTAAGTATTTGGGAGAGCTTCTCCTCCGATTTGTGATGTTGTTACACATTTTCTCTCCTCTTCACCAAAGCTGGGCAACTACAGAACCGCTCTACGGTTTCTTCCTCTTCCTCATAACTGCAACTTCTGCAATATTCGTGGAAGATTCGTAGTCTTCGAGAGTGCCTGCCAAATAGCCAATGACCGGTTACACAAGTCATGACCATCGCAATACCTTCTCTTGAGAGGCTTGTGGCATAGTAGCCTAGTTGTTCTACAAGTGCCCTCCTCTAGCCATGATCTGTTGGCCTCTTGGATCATGTTATTTCTAAGTATTAATTTGCAGGTTACAGTGGGTATCCCAATTATGGCTCTGTTTACACACAGGGGAGATTGGTACCTTTCCTGGTTAGCTCATCGGACCTGCAATTTCCTTCAAATTCTCGATGTCCCATTACCCATAGGAGGCTGACCTTGAATACGATGCTAATATCGTTTCGAGCTGCGAGCTATTCCATACGCAACTTTCGATCTTAGCATTACCGCCTAGCTGTCCAAGAAGATGTTAACCATAGCATAGCGTGCTAAGGTACACAGCCACCTCTTTTATAGCTAAAACTTCTACCTGATAAATACTGCAGTGGTCCGAAACGCTTGCTTAAGCTTGCTCGGCATGATGTTATGGTCATTAATTTGGGGCATTTGGGCATGTAACTGAGGCTCAGGCGATATCGAAAAGCGTCACATGGCATTCCTAAGTGCAACGTTCCGACAGGTCTAAAGCCATATCCACTGCGTCCTATTAGTCCTCGGCCACCACATAGTGCAGCATAGTTTAGAACCGCCCGGTCAAACGTCTTGAACGTTGATGACAACTTTTCTTTGTCTTTGTTCCAAGCTGTGTCGGCGAGCGGTTTGTGAACTTTGCTGCAACTCTGCACTAACTACAGCTTGACCTCCTACGTCCAATGGTATCATGGTCAATATCTGGTGCGGTAGGGTTCATCCAGGCACTGAAGGCGTCAGAGATGGTCATTTAATTTAAACTGTAGTCGATATGGGCACTGTTAAGGAAGATATAAAATAGTTATGGAAATTTCTCTTTGTCGGAGCCTACGTTAGTGCTAGGAGGTGACAGACTTTAAAAAAGTCTCCGGATAAATACTCCTTATCGATCTTATATACATGTGTAAATATAACCAATTATTATCAATAGTTTTGATGTGTAAACATCTTTGCTCTCGGTATGGGTAAAATTTGCGTTAACCCAGCGGAAAATTTGTAACTTATTTCGCTTGTGTAACCCAGCGGAAAATCTGTAGTTTTTCATTACAATAAGACTATGCCTGCTGCTGTTCACAACGCAGATATAAACGTCTACAAGTTTTTTTTGCATAATTCTTGGCATATCCACTACAGTAGTGTATTAATAAAAAGCTAGGCGGATATTTTAAAAATACACATATTATTATCTCTTGGGTTTTTTAAAGTATGGTACAGGTCCTGGTATTGGCAAAATTTGCGTAAACCGTCATGCGTACACCAATACAAATTCAGAAGTTAGACAAATGAGAAAAAAATGTAAGCAGCTGTTCTAGCAACACTAATCGTTGATATATGTAGTTCGGAACTTTTTCCTAAATCATTTCAGGACTTGTTCGGGTACATTTCGGGACTTTTTTTGGGTTTTGGGTTGGGACTAATTCGGGGCAAGTTCGGGACTTTTTCGACTCTAGTCCCGAAATATTTTGTGACTAGTTCGGGACCCAGATGTTTACACATCAAGTTCCTTGAGTACTCACGCCTTTTTTAACCCGTAACCAAGGGAAACATATTGTACATATGTATTTCCCAAAAATTTATTCCACTCATAAAGATATTGTGTGAGTTTTCAATACATAGTATTTTCTATTTTTAGAATATGCCTCAATAAGCTATTTCCATCAAGAAATTTAAAAAATATATAAGAAAAAATTACTTAAACGATAAAAACATAATTTAGGAAAAAAACAATTTTTCAGGAAAGAAATATGTTTACCCAAATTTAAGAAAAATAAATAAATACTAAAAAAATGTTGGAGAGAAAAAGTATTTTTGCGCTTAATTTATGTCTAGAAAAATTTTTCTTGCTAATAACATTAGAAAAATAATAATAATTTTTCAGGATAAAAATGTGAGGGAGATAAGAAGTGTAAAAAAAAAATTATGAGGAAAAGATTTAAAAAAAATATTAAGTTTTAAAAAAATATTTTTTAAGAAAATATCAAAATACATGGGTATTAAAAGCTATGTAAGGAAAAAATTATTTATGGACAAAAAATTTTTTTGTGCAAAAAACAATTTTCGAAAAAATTTATGGGGGAAAAATGAAAAAAAGTTACAAAATAGTTTTGGAAAAAAATATTTTATAGGAAAAGTTGATAAAATTAACGAAAAGTTAGAAAACAATTATTTTTTAGGTAAAATGAATGAAAATTTTTAGGGAAAAATTATCTTTTTACATTCAGTTATTTTTTTTAATGCATTTGTTTTTTTTTTAGCCCTCGGTGAATAACATTTTACAATTGAAATCATGAGTTCTTTCAACAATGTATCCTATAGTTCTGATAGGGTTAAGAAGCCATAAATGTTTCACCCAAATATTTTTTTTTTTCAATTCATTCCAGGTATTGCTTCGCATTTACGGCGAAGTGCATGGCGCGGAGGACGATGCTTTGGGTGCCATTATAACAGAATCAGTGGTATTCGCTCTCTTGAGCGAGCGCAATTTCGGACCCAAATTATATGGAATTTTCCCTGGTGGACGCCTGGAGCAATATATAAATGTGAGTACGACGCAATATAATGAAAATATTCGTTAAGATCTCAAAGCACACTAATTTATATGAACGTTAAAATTCCAGGCGCGCGCGCTGCTCACGCGAGAATTGGCAGTACCGAAAATCTCAAAGAAAATTGCCGAAAAAATGGCCGAAATACACAGCTTAGATATACCAATGTCAAAAGAGCCAGAATGGTTATGGAATTGCATTGAACGATGGCTTAAAACATTGAATACAATTTTGGCGCGAACGGATTGGTGAGTGTTGTGTTGAATGATCTGTCACCAGAGTTATTAATGTTTTAAAATATTAATTTTCTACGCACTACTTTTAGGGGCGACAAAGCGCCGCTTGTGAACATAGTACGCAAATTCGACTTCCGCAAAGAAAAGACATGGCTACGTTCGGTCATCAATCAGGGCCTGTATAAAGTAGTTTTCTGCCACAATGATATGCAAGAGGGCAATATACTCTATGCGAACTCAAGCGGCGATAAAGCAAATGGAACGAGGTTTGTGTAGAGCTTATCATTTTGTAAAATGATTACATACCAGTTTACATGTTATTTTCCATGTCTATTTACAAACAAGTTGCGTTTAATCGCTGGAATTTTTCCGCTCTTTCTTTTTGTATTTCCTTGTAAACAACTTAGCAATGGCACGCATGCTGCTGAGGACAATACAAATAACAGTGCAAGTATTTTGACTTGCAACAATACTATTGAACCAGATTTACGAATCATAGACTTTGAATACTGCGCCTATAATTATCGCGGTTTCGATTTGGCAAATCATTTTATAGAATGGACTTTCGACTACAGTAACCCCGATGCACCCTTCTATTATCACCGCAAGCAAAACTATCCAACGAAGGCACAACGTAAACGCTTCTATGCCGCCTACTTGCGAAAGTACAATGAAAATGTGCACGATTATGAACCCACGCAGGCCGAGTTGGAGGGCATGGATGCCGAAGTGCGGCTATTCTCGATGTTTTCGCATCTCTTTTGGAGCGTTTGGAGTATTGTGATGACACTAGCGACCATTGAGTTTGGCTACTGGGTAAGCGGTACTGAGGTGTCTGGCTTAGAGTTGGAAATTTTAATAGACATTTTTTTTTTTTTTTAATTTCTCCCCTACAGGAATATGGCGTGGCACGCATACGTGAATATCAATTACTAAAGCGCACATATGAGGGTGATAATGTTGAGGAGGACGATTCGTGATAACCCCGTATTGAGTCAAATTTTGAAGCAATGCGGCAATGTTGTGATTAACTGCACGTATGTA